TTCCCGTGGAGCAGGGAGCCCGATGTAGGGCTCGATCCCAGGACCCTGGGATCATGACCTGAGCCGAAGTGAGACGCTTAACGACTGAGCCACCCAGGCCCCCCTTGCTTTATAATTCCTAAAAAAGGAGAATTTGGGTATGTCTGAAATGAGGTGACATGCAATACCTGCCACATTATCAATGAAAAAATTAGACTAAATTAAACAAAAAAAATTAAACAAAATCTAAATTATCTAGGTCAAAATAAAAAAGGGACATAGATTTAATTTTTATCCCCTTCCTGTCTGATACTTAAATGGGAGAGTGTCAGATCATCATCAGGTAAAAATAATTTGGACAGATAGGTCCTTTCTAGCAGATACAAAAATTAATCAATAAATATTTAATGAACACTTGGTATATTTCTGTACCAAATCTGATGCTTCACATGAAATACTGGGAGCCATTCTCTCTGGCCATTTGTCTTGAATGAACAAAGCCCCTTTATTCCAGCTTAATATTTGTCAGAATATAAATTGTATTCCACTAGATTCAAAGGGCAACTACGTCCATTCCAGGCTAGATTTAAAAAGTGATTCTTTATGCCAGAGCCTCTGGTTTACCTTCTAAATCCAGCCCTTTCCAACACACTTCCTCTCTCTCTCTCTCTAATTATCCTCAGTGGAAGACAGTCTTAATTTTATCCACATTCTGTCCTCATCCTGGGATGGACTGACCTTTATCTCCATATCCCTATCACTTTGCCCCAGCTCTTCCTAGTTCAGGCTGAACCACAGTCAGAATGGATTGCTCACCAATGGTGAGCCCCAGACCTCTGTTTCCACTTCTCCAACAGTCTCATGGGATTAGTGCTTCTCTTCCAGCTGCTCCCCTAATCTGTCCTCACAGGGACTCTGGTCTGTCCCTTTGAACTCAAGTGAATCCTGGGAATTTCCCTGCTCCCACCTGCACTCTAACTCCTAGTTTCCCATGGGTTTATTTTTCTCCCTCGTTTGACTTCTAGTTGGCTAACCCCCTGGCTTGTTCCTTCCAAATTTGGCCCACAGGTCCATCAATTTGGGGGAAATTTCATAAGGCAGCGGTGTGGTAGTGATGGTCACAAGGATCCTTTTGGAGAAAGTCTGCAATGCAGTGTTTGCTTTTCAGCATAAAAATGTTGACAAGTCCTGAAGGTGAAATACAAGGACAGACAATCCCACTTTGTAAAAACCATTATTTTGTGTCTGCCAGCGATTATCGATGGGAGACCAAACGTTTGCCAATAAGCAATTTTTTACTCTGGCTCCCTAGAGTGTCAGGCCATGATTTCAGATGGCGGTACTTGGAATAACTTAATCAAAGAGAACAGAAGTTCTCCAGTGGGGAGGCAGGTAGGTTAAGGATCTAGTTTCGTGGTTATACATTAGGACCAAGTCTTAGGAGCAACGCTTGAACTAATTCCCTCCTTCTACATACTCTACCTGACCTGAAGCCAGTTCCATCATAACCCTGCAAGGTGGCTCATTAGCTAATTCAGTTCAGAATCACTTATGTAAATAAACTGATTCCAGATGTTTGGACTGTCTACTGAGAAGCCCATGTATTAATGTATGAGGCTGTTACCTAACATCAGTGCTTAGTTAATCCTCTCTTCTATCACTTCGATGAGGACAAGATATACTTTCGCCTTCTAGATAAAGGTTCTTAAACTGGGGTCCATGAGCTTCGTGGAGCTCTGTGCACAATGGAGATGCTGCCCAGTGTCTGTCACACTACCATTGTCCCAATAGATATCTGCCAAAGGGATGAGCGTGGGAATCAAGGAAAGCTCGTTTTGTCAGAGAAAATGGGGCCGCATCATTTCAGAAAATACATACGTTTGTGTGCTTTTATAGACCTATCCCTTTTCTGTGATCCAATGCCTGTTCTGTGATCCAATGCCTGTCCCACACACTGGTAATTGAAATCTAAGAGGTAGATCCCATTTACACTAGCAGAGACTGCTTTTTGTACATTACCAGAAGCTGCGATTTTTTATATATATATAGAAATATATATATATAGATAGATAGATAGATGTAAAATCTCATGAATGAGGAGAGGTGGAATTATGTCTTAGAGCATCTGCTTGTGCTCTTTCTTGGGCCACCATGCACTCGTTCTTTGAATGACACATTTGGTTCAGTTGACCACTTTCTCCATGACCCTTTTGAAAGCAATGAATGAGGGGTGCCTGGGTGGCTCAGTCGGTTAAGCGTCTGCCTTTGGCTCAGGTCATGACCCTGGGCCCTGGGATCGAGTCCCAGATCGGGCTCCTGGCTCAGTGGGAGCCTGCTTCCCCCTCTGCCTGCAGCTCCCCCTGCTTGTGTGCTTTCTCTCTCTGACCAAATAAATAAATAAAATCTTAAAAAAAAAAAGAAAGAAAGAAAGAAAGCAATGAATGAGGGAAAGCAGGGAAAACACTGCACATGCAGTCTGACCTGGGCTGTGAGTCCTGACCTCACCAAGGACTGGACATGGTTTTCAGGAGAGCACAGCTTCCAGTCCCCTCAGGGGATGAATAACAGTAATAATACTTAATAAGATTAGCATGAATATTAAATAAGCCATTTCATATCAAAACACATTATAAACTGCAAAATGTTACCTTGTTCTAAAGAACTAACATTATGACTTTTATTATTAGCAGTGGAAACCTTGCCACGAACAGAAGGCAATGGCTGAGGAAGGGCTTCTGGCCAGCCACTGGGGAGGAAGGTGACCAGCTGGTGTCACGAGCTCCCTTGTGACCAGGAGCCAAGCCGAGACTCCACAGCGGTGGTGGTCCCTTACCCTAACAGCCACATCATCAAGGTCCAGGCATGTCCTGCATAGCGGGACTGGCCATAGCTTGGCAGAAGTCGTGACCTAGCAGAAGTTCACGTTCAAAATTTCCCTATGATGCCCGCTTCACCTTCCGTAGCCCTTTGCTATTTTTACTGCTGTCACATTACTCCAAGGCCAATTCAGTTTAACAAACATTTACTGAGGACAGAGAGAAAGCCAGAAATATTTATGACCTAAACCCTACCACTATGTTGCTTCTGTTCCTAGGAGGAGATCCATCCATCTCTTTTCTTCTAGGATAGAAAATTATCCCTTTCCAGAGGTCTGAGAGAGATCATATATAATATCCTTTTATTTAAATGCAATTTTCAGTTTTGTCTGTAACTCTTACAGTTAATAAATATTGAATGTCAACTATGTGTTGGGTACAGTGCTATATTTATTTTAGTGTAAGTATAACATGAAAGTCTGTTTCCCCCAAATTGTTATCAGTCTGAAAACTTCTTATGGACTAAATGTCTGTGTGTGTATATGTGTGTGTGTGTGTGTGTGTGTGTGTGTGAGTTGTTAACCATTTCTCTTTGTTACAAAGTGACTCTTTTGTTCAGTTTTTCCATCTATCCAGTTAGGGCCAGTATCAAACAATTTTTAGTACTATTTTCCTGTAATATGCATTGCTCTCTGGTAAGATCGTTCCTTCTTCATTATACATTTTCAAAATTATACTCTGTAAGCTTTTCTTCCTGTGACATTTAGAGCAATTTTCAAGTAAAAAACTCATGTTGGGATTTAGATTCAATTTATTTGAAATGTAGTGATTTGGGAAAATTGGTCCTTTTAAAATATGTTGTTTCCCACCTGAGGCAGGGTGCTTTTTTTCACCGACTCGAGTCTTTATTTGTCTTTTATTAAAATATTGCGGAGTTACTCATGTAGACCACACATATTTCTCAGATGAATGAAATTTTTTTTCCCATTACAACTTCAGCTGCACGATAAGAATCGGTGTGTGTGTGTGTGTTTATCTTCTTCCAGGTTACCTATCAAATTTTATTAATTAAAGCAGTTTCTTAGCTTAGTCTCTTGGGCTATCTGACAATAAAATCATACCGCCCCACATGTTTTACCACTTCTTTTTCAATAATCTAACCCTTCAGGCTATCTTATTTTTGCTTTTAGTGAACAGTATTTCTATAATATTAATAATAGTGAAATCGGACACATTTATTTTACCATGGATATAGCTTTTAGATTGAAATAGATGGCCTTTATTATGGTAAAGCAGTTTTCCTCTATTCCTGTATTTTAGTATTTTATCAAAAGAATGTCACCAATTTTTAACATTTTTATACTTATGCTAGGAACATTAATCCACTTCTGCTAGGTATTATCTATATTTAGATCATATTTTTCTTCTTTAATCTACTTGTGTCAAGTGCTATATTAATAGATGCCCTTATCTATTTATAGCACTTGTCCCTGAAAAGAAAAAACTTGAAGAGAGAATCTTAGTAAAAGATTTTCTCATGCCAGGTCACCCTTGAAATAAAAGTGTCCCTAGTCCCATGGGAGCTGTCTTTCCAGGGAAGCCAGTCATCTCAGATGCAACTGCCACTTCTTGCTTCTCTTCTCAGGATAACTAACTTCTTCAGGTACCTCCTTCCAGTTTTACAAGTGTTAGTTGTTAGTTGATATGTTGGATTTGTTGTCTCTGGGGCAGAGGGCTGAGTTAGCCATTCTTCTCAGCTCACAGCACACCGTTATCATGGTTAATGGTCATTCCTGCTTCCTCCTCACCCTTTCCTGCTCTTTTCTTTAGTTTTAACCTAATGTTCCCTTTCTGTTCCAGGATCCTACCTACATTTGGTTATCATGTCTCCTTAGGATCTTCTTGGCTGTGATAGTTTCTCAACTTGCCTCATTTTTGATGACCTTGACAGTGTTGAGGAATACTTGTCAGGTATTTTATAGGCTGTCCTTCAGATGGGATTTGTCTGATATTTTCCTTGTGTTTAGATCTGGGTAATGGGTTTTAGGGAGGAAAGACACAGAGGAAAAATCATTTTCATCCCATGGTATCAAAGGTATGTACTATCAACATGACTCGTCACTGTTGATGTTGACTTTGATGACCTGGCCTAGATTGTGTTTCTCAGATTTCTCACTGTAAAATTATTCTTTTTCCTCTCTTTCCATGCTGTCTGCTTTGGAAGGATGTCCTGATGCAGAGCCCGTTGTTAAGGAGTGGGAGGTTGTATTCCACCCCCTTGACGTAGAGCATCTACATAAACTATTTGGAATTCTTTTCAGGAGAGATTATCTCTTCTCCTCACCTCTGTTTATTTATTTAATCATTTATTTATATCAGCTCATGAATATGTATTTTAATGTTGGGTTATAATCCGATACTACTTTATTTTGTCGCTCAAATTAAGTTGTTTTAGCTGGCCTCTGAGAATGCGTTCAGTTGGCTTTTGTGTCCTTTTGACATACAATTTCTCTTTCCTCCCTTTCTCTGTCTTTTACCACTTGCTTGGCTCTCTCTTGTTTTCTCTCTTTTAACTATGTCCTGCTTTTCTGGCACTACAGATGTCCCAGGTTCATCTTGTGCATTTTCTGCCTCAGTCCTGGAATCAGCCATTTCTCCAAGGATCCCTAGTTCTTTTATTGAGAGTATTATTTAAAACCATGATCTTGGTGCTAGGTGTCCTTATAGTTACTGGGCTGCTGTTCCTTCAGGCCCTCTCTGTTGACAGAGCAAGGAAATACAAGGAGGTATATACACATGGCTACATGTGATGATCTGTATCACTATTAAGCTAAATTTGAGTTCACACTCATATCTCCAACTACAATCGTTAGCACATGGATCATTGGAGCCTCCTCCCCGTGCTTATCCATAACCTCTCACTCAATAGTGAGAAACCTGGCTCTCACCCTCCACCATGCCCTTAAGGAATTGTCCTATTCTGCCGTATGAGAATGATCAACACCGACTCCCTTGGAAAACAACTTTATCAACTAGGTACAGGGCCATGTATAGTTTCTTTTGCCTATAGTCTTCTAATTTCATTCATTTCCAAAGTTATTTGGCTTGGCACCTTTATCTTCCACCCTCTTTGCTGAGGTCATTTCATACATTTGTCATACAGTTAGATTTACTTGCCACAGTCTGCATTCCATCTTGGGATCCCCTGACCTCCTAAATGATTTTTTAAAATTACATGCATTAAGGTTCACTGTGCTATAAAGTTTTGTCAAATGCATAGTGTCTTCTTTATGGGAATATTGTTTTACCATAAAAATTATTATATATTCATCTTCACCTAGAAATTGGCTATTCTGTATTCATACATGATTTTTCCCACAAATAATGTACTTCTTTACTTATAAGCATATATATATCTATATATATATAGATATATATATAGCTCTTACCATGTCCAGGCACTATTTTCAGTGATTTGCAAGTATTTATTCATTTAATCCTTATAATAGTTCTAGGAGATAGGTGCTATTATTAGCCTTGTATTACAAACAAGGAAAACGGAGGCAAAGAAAGGTTAAATAACTTTGTCAAGGTCACACAGCTAGTACGTGTTTGTTAGCCAAGGCAAACAGTAAACACAGCTTCTGATTAGATGTTCATATCACATTGGCTGGAGCTGAACAGAGGCTTCCTGCATGGCTGACCCCTAGTGAAGTTGAGCTCTGGTAGAGGGCTCCAGGTACACAGCAAGCAGCCGCCAAGATGGAGAAGCTTTCAGCTGTTTCCTCCAGCGGTTGTGAAATTGATGAAATAGAATAATTGATGGTTGCTTTACTGAATAATTTACCAGTCAAGTTATTCAGAAAAGCAGTAAGATGTGAAATGGCAAAACAAGGGAGAAATAAGTTTGGATCAGGGAAGGATCAATAAGAACCAGCAAAGTTGAACACTGCCGGCCGGGGCCTGGTGTGTTGAGGGAAGACAGGTCTCTGCTGGCCTTGCTTCTGACTTCAGAAGGCTGAATGTGCTAGACTGCCTGGCTTGCTGCTCACCACACAATGCTGCTGGAGAGCCTGCATCCACTTGCAGTGGACTCGGAGTTTGTTTTTTTCTCACTTGTCAGTTCCTTTGCATGAATGTTTAATTTATCATTGCCTAGAATGTGGAGCAGCTCATGGTATTAGGATTCTTCCATAGATCCACCAGATCCTTGTTGTGAATTGGGGAACACTTCGCCATTGATGAAAGATTTTGCCTGTTGCCTTGTTTAATCTGTACAGCTGCTTTTTTTTTTTTTTTAAAAGTTTTATTTATTTATTTGAGAGAGAGAGAATGAGAG